CGAAAGAATCTCAATATAGATGAGCACACTACATATAAATTAAAAGTTGCATGTTTAAAATAGAAAAATATTTTAAATAATATGTAATAAGATTTTTATCATTGGAAACAAAGTAAATATTTGGAAGATAAAGACTTATGATAAGTAAAACAAAAGTTAACAACATAATATACCACTATAATGCATTTGAAAGTGGAAAATAATAGAGAATGCAAAAGAATCTCAATATAGATGAGCACACTACATATAAATTAAAAGTTGCATGTTTAAAATAGAAAAATATTTAAATAATATGTAATAAGATTTTTATCATTGGAAACAAAGTAAATATTTGGAAGATAAAGACTTATGATAAGTAAAACAAAAGTTAACAACATAATATACCACTATAATGCATTTGAAAGTGGAAAATAATAGAGAATATTATTAAAAATCAAGTGACATTTACAAAAAAAATCAATTTAAAGACCAAAAATTTATCATGCGAAAGAATCTCAATATAGATGAGCACACTACATATAAATTAAAAGTTGCATGTTTAAAATAGAAAAATATTTTAAATAATATGTAATAAGATTTTTATCATTGGAAACAAAGTAAATATTTGGAAGATAAAGACTTATGATAAGTAAAACAAAAGTTAACAACATAATATACCACTATAATGCATTTGAAAGTGGAAAATAATAGAGAATATTATTAAAAATCAAGTGACATTTACAAAAAAAATCAATTTAAAGACCAAAAATTTATCATGCGAAAGAATCTCAATATAGATGAGCACACTACATATAAATTAAAAGTTGCATGTTTAAAATAGAAAAATATTTAAATAATATGTAATAAGATTTTTATCATTGGAAACAAAGTAAATATTTGGAAGATAAAGACTTATGATAAGTAAAACAAAAGTTAACAACATAATATACCACTATAATGCATTTGAAAGTGGAAAATAATAGAGAATATTATTAAAAATCAAGTGACATTTACAAAAAAAATCAATTTAAAGACCAAAAATTTATCATGCGAAAGAATCTCAATATAGATGAGCACACTACATATAAATTAAAAGTTGCATGTTTAAAATAGAAAAATATTTTAAATAATATGTAATAAGATTTTTATCATTGGATACAAAGTAAATTTCAGCAATTAGCAATTATTCATTCTATTTGGCAACGGATTCAAGTGTTCAGAAACAAAAAATGGACAGTCACATACAAACAACACAATTCTTATGTATTTACATATCCAACACATAAATATTAATATTGACATACATAGCACTCAAATCTTTAATATCACATCAAAAATATGATTATGAAAAACTTTTAAAATTTAATAACATTTTCATGCATTGGTTTATCACATTGTTATAAATTTAAATATGAAAGTTTAGGTGATAGATACATAAATATTAAAGAATTTTTCGGTATGTATGCAAATTTCTCCAAAAAATTTATCAATAATTAAGCGCAGTAGAAATAAGAACAATAAAATGAATGTCTAATAAATATAAAAAAAACGAGTAAAAATTTATTATATTAGTTGGACGGCAGTGTGGCAATTATTAAATATAAGATAGTGAAAATATATATTAATGGTTTGTGCAAGAAGAATGGATAGCAGAAAATAGATTGATAAAATAGAAATAATGTGCAAATGCTGGAAAAGAAGACAAACAAAAGGCAGCATGACCAAAACTTCTACGTAGAAACGCAACAATAACATCAACAAGCCTTTATCCCACTAAGTGGGGTCAGCTAAATGAATCATTTTTCTCCATTGCATCCTATTGAGTGTCATAATTTCATTTAATTCAAATAAATTAAGATCATTATTTTATACAATATGCCAAAGTCTTTTTAGATATACATTGATCTTTCTTAACATAAGTCGAATCTAAAACATCTACTATCCTAACCAGATCCTCAGATGGTCGAATTTAATATGATCAAACCATCTAAGACGAATCTCTCTAATCTTATCTGCCACTAGAGCAACACCAACCTTTTCATGGAACATTCGTTTTGCATTTTATCTCTAAGTGTCAAGCCGCTCATCCATGCAAACATTCACATCTCAACAACACTTGATTTAATTTTATGCTCCTCTTTTATAGGACAACATTCTGCTCCATAAAGCATTGCAGATCTTAGCACCATCTTATAGAATTTTCCTGTAAGTCAAAATGGTACTTTTCTATCACACAATAGGCCCCACTTCAAAGATCAAACTTCAATTCTACAAATAACATCTCCATCTGTATCACAATCACTTTGAACATCATACCTCAGATATCTAGAACGTTCAATCCTATTAATGATTTGATCTCCAATATTACAACTCCACCACTAGATCTACTACAACTAAATTACACTCCATGTATTCAGTTTTAGATCTATTCAAACAAGTTTCTTTAGACTCTAATGTAGACCTCCATAATTGAAGTTTTTACTGAACTCTTTCGCTAGTCTTATCCATAAGAAAGATAACATCAACAAAAATCATACACCAATGTACATCCTCCTATAAATATCTAGTAAGAGCATCCGTACATAAAGCAAAAAGATAAGGGTTTAAAGCTGATCCCTGATGAAATCCAACTGAAATTGAAAAACAGTCAATCAATCTTTCCCCTATTCGAATACAAGTAGTAGCTCTAGTATACATATCTTTAATGACTTGAATATAAATAGTATCAACAACTTTATTTCTAGAACTTTCCAAAGAACATCCCTTGGAACCTTATCGCAAGCTTTTTCAAAATAAAAAAAAAACATATGTAAATCCTCCTTAATCTATCTGTATTGCTCCATCAAACCTCCCAATATATGTATATCTTTCATAGAAAACTTTGCATAAAAACCAAAAAGATTATAAGAAATTTTTGTATCATTCTTAACCTATGTTCAATTACTCTCTCCCATAATTTAAAGTATGGCACATTAACTTAATTACTCTATAATTTGTATTTTTTGCATCCCCTTTATTCTCAAACAAAAAAGTATTTAAATACCAAATGCATACCAGAACTCGCATATATTAGAGGTTTTGAGAGAAAAAAAACAACTTCACACATACCCACATAAAGCAAATATCCCATCCAAACATACAATAAACGAGATTAAAGAAAATGATGGATAAAGGTAGCCAGCCACAAAGGGGGAAATGGAGATGACAATAATACATTAACAATTTAAACAAACATGTATTTAGATACCAAATGCATACCAAAACTCATATATATGAGAGGATTTGAGAGAGATTAAAACAACTTCATACATACCCAACATTCCAAGAGAACACAAACAAAACTATTTAGCATATTTGTTTGGTTTAGCTAGATGTTGATTACAACAACAACGACAACAAGCCTTTATCCCACTAAGTAGGTTCGGCTACATAAATCCTTTTTCTCCATTATGTTTTATTGAGTGTCATATTTTCATTTAATTATACTAAATTAAGAAATTTTTTTGTACAACATGCCCAAGTCTTCTTAGGTTTAGCAAGATATTGATTCCCAAGTATAAATACCAAGAGAAATTGATGATAAAGTTTGAGCAATCATGTTGAAAATCAAAATTTTCCCAATACAACAAAACGGTTAAGGCAACCATTATCAAACCAAATTATTCCGACAAAAGTGATGGGCATTGTGAAAACCAAATATTAACAAGAAAACAAGTGGGGCACACAATTTGATTATGTATTCTACATGGAAATGCTATTGCGCAAGATTTTTTTTTAGCACAATTTGACCCAATCATTTTTTGGACCTATCAACCATGTTCAATTGGGCTAGATCATCTGAGCCAGCCCCTATGGATGAACATAAGCAAGCCCCAATCAAACTAGATATGTAGTTAAATATGGAAACAATAAAATGTAAGAAAAGATTAATAATTAAAAGGAATATATATTTATCATGTTATATTTATGTCTTATATGTTCCTTAAATAAAATAAATGTTACTTTATAGTTTAGGCGGTCCTTTAGTTGGGTTAACCAGAAAAGAACCAAATCCAGTAAACCCAGTTCATCCAACAATCAAGTCTAGCTACAAATAAAAAAAACATTAATGTCTTGTAAAAAGATCACTAATCATTCACCTATTAAAAGATGAATTGGTCTAAAACATACTCTTCTCATAATATTGTTAATGAGCAACTTATCTGATAATTTCCACATAATAAGCATAACATCGAAAAGTAACATAAAGTCCCAAAAAGCAAAAACAAAAAGAAAGAAAGAAACTTTCATCTTACATTTCCAAATTGATCATTTTCATTATTATTTTCAAAATCAAAAGGTTTCCTACTCTTTTATGAAAATAAGTCAGCTAGCCTAATAAAGTACATATTTCACAAATTTCAGCCATCAACTTGGTAATGCTTAAATCATGCAATTTTGAGGCTCATAACTTCCTCCTTCCAGCAACTCCTAAATATTAAAATTAATTTCGTTTTAAACCATCTTTTCTTACATTCTGATATTGCAAGCTAGATAGGCTCACCTTATAACTATTTTCCAACACAATGACAAGAAATCAGATAATGTCACAATATCACTGCATTAAACGTACATTGAAATGTCTCACAAATTAAGCATATTAACTGACTTGATAGGAAAAGGCTAAAGGCTAGTTAATTGGAAAAGCAGTGGAGGGGCTTGATGTAATTTGATTTTAATGGAAATTTAAAAAAGAAAGAATCAATGCATGCGGTGAATATCCTGCCCTAGTTTTTGCATCTACTGATCTTATCCAGCTCATCAAAAGTGAAGCAACTTAGAAATCTAGTCTTTTTTGGCATCCTTCTCAATTTTAATGAATCTCTTACACAAAAGCATTGTTTCATCTTACATCTAGCCATATGAATTGGTAGACATTATGATTCTGATAAAGAATAAGAATTAAAACTGATGGCATAAGTGGCAAAAAAGCTCAAATAGATAAACAGCATGCAATTATCAAAATAGCATACAAGTCACAAAACACAGAATCCAAGAGCATTTCCGGAGAGAAGTTATAAATTACCTAGAGCCACCATCATCTTAAATATATAAAAATTTGCATAACAAAAGAACACAATCAAAGATCCATACAACATTGGCATAAAAATGAAGTTGGCAACAAAGGGCTATTTACATATTAGACTTGAATTTGAAACAATTTCATGTGAACTCGAGCAACTTGATTCAAACTTACCTCCTTGATCACCGAACTTATAGCAACATTGAAAGCTTGAAAAAAGCAGGTACCTTCTCAGTAGTCCGAACGATAGTCATTGTAGTCCTCCCTGGTAGCCAGATCACTCTCGACCCTTTCTGTAATTTTTCCTTCCTCGTGCTTCAACCCTTCTTCCAGCGCCAGTGCTCCCAAAGACCCCGCCACAGCACCAACTGCTAATCCAGCCCCAAATCCCATGTTCCCCCCTTTCTGCTTCTGTTCATACGAAGCCACGGAGGAGTAATCCACAGGAGCTGAAGGACCTAACCCATAGCTAGATGCCCTATCGTAGTAAGACGGCCTAGCCGGCAGAGCAACTGCCGCCGGAGCAGGAGGGGCAGAGTAGTATGCCGAAGCAGGCGGGTAGTATCCAGAGTACGGATCGGAGTAATTACCATAAGGATACTGCGATGGAGGCGGCGGGATAGCGTGGTTGTATGGAGAAGGAGAAGGGAAGGAGCGGTAGTTGCGAAGGGGCGGAAGAGGGGCGGAGTAATAGTAACTGGAAGGAGGAGGATGGGGTATTGAATAATTAGGCTCCGGCGCGCAGGGGCGCTCGCGAATGGCCAGCTTAATACGGATTTTGCCTTGGTTGCGACCAGAGGGGCGCTGAAGCTCGAGCGAGCGGATCGGAGTGGGGGTTCCGGAGGGATCTTCGAGATCGATGAGATCACTCAGCGGTGACCTCGCAGTTCCGACGAGGGGTTTGGGAGTTTCCGAGGGCTTGGAATGGAATATGTCTAGGGTTAGAAATAGGGGCGAGCCATGGTGGAGAGAAGGCGGAAGGGGGAGAACAAGGCGCTCGTTCCATACGGGACGCGTAGACCCAGCGTCGTCGGGTTTGGTGGCAGATCGACGCTCAGGGTCTAGGTAGGCAACAGCATAAGGTTTGAGATCACCGTGGCGCCAATTGACGTTCTTCAGGTGTTTAGCAGAGACAACGGTGATCTCTATTTCGAGGGGCCTCGTCGCCGGTGAGGAGGGGCGGGGAGTTGCCATGGGAGCCGATGCCGGTTGTTAGCGCGTTTAGGTTTTCAGTCGCGGTGGGAGGAGAAAGCAGAATTAAAAGAAATAGATTAAAACGGCCAAAAATAAAAAAAATATGGGTTTTTACATTGGAGCCACCTAAAATATTATATTTTATATTCTAACACATAAATTCTAGTTGTTGAATCTAAAAGTGCCCATGAATCACATCCAAGGAATAAAGCACCAGGACTAAAGGAGAATATATGAACAGTGAAAAAATGAGTATCTTTAGAGTTTTTTTCTCATGAGAGGTTCCCTAGTTGTAGGTATGGGAGGCATTTTGGATACATAATTATCCTTAAGTTCTTTTTCTTTAGAAAAAAATCTAAGGGCACGAAGATCATTTACACAATATATTTAAATGTTTCGGCATGTGGATTATTGGTCAACAGCTGCAATCTTCGCTCATTACTCCCATACTTGTTCATTGTCTCTAACGGGTTGACCCATGTGGAGATAATCCAAAAGTCTGTCGGTCGAAATTATTTATAACTACCACTGATTTCTTTGACTCGCCTACCTCATCCTCTTGATGATAGATTGGTCTTCACTCGATTCATTTGGTGCATATCATTCACTCTATTGTCATGTTTGTTGGCGAGCTAACGAGACAAATGACTATGCAAAGCTCTGGGACATTCTTCCTGGCTCCACATCTATCTCTCCCTGGACAAATTGGATTGTTTTATTGGTTGCTCTTTGAATACTTCGATCGAGGGGGCCCGCCCCATTTGTTGTGTGCTCATGTTCTACCTTAAGATACGTGCTGACACGATTCTATCACAGATATATAGTTTCCCAATTTTATTGCTTTTAAACACAACTTCCTGCTGGCATCGGCAAGAAATTAAGGAATCCTCACATGGTCGTTTGGGGAGCCTTAAAAAATGACAGAAGATCCCTCCTCAGATGCAGGCTTAGCATCGTCTGTCGAAGGGAATAGTCATTTTGTTGTCCAATACCCCACGACGACATGATTAACAAAGTTTTGAACCCTAAAAAGTATGAACGAATGACTCAAGATTTGTGGGCCCCTTGAAAGTCGATGAGTCAAAGCAAAGGATTAATAAGGCAGCCAAGGCTTCCACTAAAGAGCCGAGGATGAAGAAATCACTGGTGGGTGAGAAGGCGCTCACAAAGAAAAACCCAGATTCAGACCTCCTTATTTATACCTTTGAAACAACATTTATAATCCAATGGATTCTAACAAGTGAGATAACTTTGATTGACAGAAAATCTTACTTTCCGACAGGTGATGTTGGGGGTGGTGAAGTTGTGACTCCTTACGTTCTACACTTAAATGCCACATTTATTCCAGACGACGATTTGATCGGGCTGAAGAGGACCCCCTATCTGACGCATCAGGCTTCATTAGCCTCGTTGAGAGGTAAAAAGTCAGCCAGTCCTTTCCTGACCCTACATCAAGAGAGGAGCATGGTCCTAGCTAGAGCACTCGTTGGGATGAAGCGGGCTTCAGATATGAAACCAATCTAGGGGTGGCAACCTCAATCTACAAATATGTCAGAGGCGACACTACTCCATGAAATGAGCCAGATGTTAGTTCTACGGTTTCTGAAGGATTTCGATGAAGGGAAGGTTCCCTTATTAGGGGTAGCGATGAGCAGATCACAATGTTGGTGAGGTCAAAAGCTTTTGTCTTGAGGGATTCCTGATTCGCCCTCATTGACTTATAGTGAGATTGGTTCCATCGTAGCCCGAGAGTGGAGTTCCATGGCTTAGACCTTGTAGGCACCCTATGGTCTAAGAGTATCAAGCATAAGTTAAAGGGGAAGAGGAAGTGGAATATTTCTGGGTGGAGTTGAATTAGGCTGCGTTTCTTTTTTGCTTATGTTGCTCCATGCATTCTTGGACACCGTCTTTGTTATATTGATAAATCTACTTGCTTACGCATCAATTATGACATTCAAGTTTCGAAAGGAATGATACTAGCATTATGTTGCAGACCCTAGCATCATGCGTACTGTTCTCAGATACAGAATAAACTTTGAGATTTAAGTTTATTAGAATTTAGTGGGATGGAATCGATGGGAGAAACAATTATGCTTCTTACTCTTTCATTGTGAAGAAGTGATAGTCATTTGCCTTTTGTTTCTTGTTCATGGTTTTGTTTAAAAGAATTGCCGTTTGTATCCCAATTTCATATGTGACGGCATTAACCTCAATCTTAATATGGATTTTTGTGCTATGGCATGCGTTTTTGTTTTGGCATCTGTTTTGCTAACTGTGTTCCACTATGGATCTCTATGTTTGGTCTTTATTTCCTGCTATGCTGAACTGCTTCATACTTTATGATCTCAATGGCTGAATATTTTACCTTTCCTTGGTGGTTTAACCAATGGGCCCTTCTCTCTGTTGCACTCTGGAAAAGTTTTTTTGGTGGTTTTAAAGCATGGCGACATCCTGAATTAGTATTTGTGCTAGTCTCTCATTTTCGTACAAGTGTTTCATGAAAGCTTTATAGTGTTTGCTTACATAACATGCAATTCTAATGTATTTACATATCTCACGCCAAGGTTTCGATCTTTTACACTACAAATACGCAATACGACTTTTCATGTTTAGATTTATGACACCATGGCTTTATAGGTGCAAATATCAAAGTTTGGGTTTTAAATATGTAAATATATAATAATTGTGTGGTATGTATGTATGTAAATCTTCTTGTAAGTTTAGTCCAACCCCCAGTTGCTTTTGTTTACCCGCACATTATGTAAGAAAATATGGGGAAGAAAATAAACTTCATCATCAGCCCTCCCATATTTAAGTTTATGGAAACCTTTGGTTTAATTGCATAAATGATGTTTTATTTGGCCTTATCCCTCGAGGAGCAGTTGGCAATTTTCTCTTTGATTTGAAATCTGCACTGGTTGTTTCTTCTGAGATTTTACATTTTCTGGAACTTATTTGCCCGTATTTAGACTTGGCATTATGAGTTCAGGCCTTTCACTTTATTTTATCTCATTTCTTGCCAATGTATTGATTACACTTCTGAATCTATTGGAAATTGAATGAGGATTGGTTAAGAAGAAGCAATCAGGTTGATTTAGTAAGGTTTAAATCCAATAGCACTTCTACCCAAGCGAATACTCGCTCAAAGTAATTGGAAAAGGTCAATTTGAAGAGGAATTTGTTACTTCTTGAGGGGAGGTTTTAAATGTTGATGGAAGTACTTGTGATTTCATTTTTCCGGTTATAACAGTAAGATTACACAACTTCTTTTCATATATATCTGATGCCGGGAGTTTGATCCTTATATTCACATATGTAGGGATATTTACATATATATACCACCTTATTCTTATGTATTTACATATATAGCACCTAAACTTTGATTTTCACTAGTTTTGCATATACCATAAAATTCTTATATATTTACATATTTAACACCCAAACTTCAATTTTTACACATGTCATTCCATTCAAGGTCATTTAGATATCTCTTTATATAAATTGTTGTTCGAGCACTTTAAGAAATAATTTTGACTAATGGCTTTAGTATTTATTGGAAGAAAATAAGAGCTTGAAATTTCTTTTGGGATCTTGATCCATGGGTATTTGGAAGCTTGAGCTTTTCATATACATATATACATGCACTCATAGTGTGGACTTAAAGATTGGAGCATGGAGGTTACAAGATTACTTGGAATATGTTCTCTTTCAATTTCATGATACGAAACATACAGAGTTGTTGGAAATTGGAGGTATGTTCTCTTTGAAGTTCTCAAAATTTCACAAAATAAAGCCACAATGATTTCCAAGTTTCCCATAATACAGTTTTCAAGTTTTCTGAATCATATAAATCAAAACCATAAACATTTTAGAACTCTGAATCATAAACATTTTAGAACTTCGGGACAGAAATTCAGATTGTCGGTGATGGAGAATTTCAAGGTTCTGTGGAGATTTCTTTGCATGTGGGCTCGGTTTTGGTTCTGAAAGGGAACGACGTTGATATAGCTGAACACTGCATCCCTGGAATACTATATCCAAGAGTTTTTATAACCCTTAGGAGGATGAATGAAGACAATGTGTCCTTCCGCTTTAAGGCTGATCTTGAGATAGAGAATTTGCAGTCTTTCGAGCTATAAGTTGTATAAAGACAGCACACCTCAATATATATTTAGGAGAAGTTGCTTCTATTTTTCTGATAATATGTTAGAAGGTGAGGCTAGTCTTTATGCAACTTACTATTTCTACATGGATATCGATAATGGATTGTCAGTTAGATGATATGCAGATTAAATTCAATCATATGTATTTAGTGTTGAAGTATGGAAGAGCATTCAGATATATGGATCATTTTCATATGATTCCAAAAGATGTTTTGATCATGTCCTCTTAAATGGAGTCAGACAGCATTGCATCCAGTATCAGATTACAGGAAAAAATGTTGAAATTTCTTTTTGCAGTTGTGAATGCAAATTTGGGCAATTGATTGAGAAAACAAATGAATTTGATTTGTCTCAATTCTGAGAAAGACAAACTAGCAAGAACGATATGTAAAACAAAATATATAATGAATAACACTCAATATATATATATATATATATATATATATAGATATATATGTTTGTGTGTGTGTGTCTGTATGTATGTATATATATAAATTAATTAACAGTAAACAAAAAATACTCTTCAAAATCATGAAAATTAAAAAAATAAAATAAAATAAAAATTTTCTCACCACAAATTCATTGTTTCCGCACTTCTGTGGATTTTGTCTTTTCTTTCACAATTCTGCAAAACGTTACAAATTTTACATTTCCATAAACTTTCAGATTCTACAAGTTCTATACTTCATTTATACATGATCTTATATGATTACACAAAATTTTTCACATCTTCACAAATTCATACAAATATTACATCCTCACACAATCTTACACGATATTTCACATTTCACGATATTTCACATTTCTACACGATATTTCACATTTCTGAAACAAATTCTTACATTCCTGATATTTTTGGATCGATGCAAGGATTCTGATTCTTTTCGTATATTTCCACATCCTAT